TTCTCAGTGCTGTGCTTTAACCCACTGCGCCACCAGGGGGGCCGACAAGTCTTTTTTCTTTAAAGCAAAATTTGGAAGTCTTTTGTGCCAGAGCATAATACTGTTTGAGGCTGTCATGATAAGGCTCAACCCTTCAGTTCTACAAATTAGTTTATGTTTTGTGCTTTGCCTCCAGCTATACTTGCCTTGTTTTCTGTTTCCACTAGCTTATCTTGCGATTTCATATTAACTGTTTATGTTTGTTCTCTGCTGTGATATAGAACAGACAAATGGGCTAAAGCTGTTCTGCTGCTTACTAGCTTGTGACTTTAGGCAAGTTAATCTGAGTCTTATTATCTTAAAGTTGGAGGCTGTAATAGTTCTTACTTTATAGGATTATTGTGAAGCTTGAGTCTTTATTTAAATGTGGCTGTTTGCTATTTTATTTCCAGTATTTCTTCTGTTACTAGTCAACATTAAAGTAACACTATAGCTGCAGGAGCATACTGAACTTAGGATTTCATGAAATGTCCTGTAACAAACTGGAACAAAACAGCCTGTCCCTCTTTATGGTGCCACTTTATGTGGAAATAATCAGCTTAGAAGATGACTTCTGAAACACTGAAGGGCCGCTGGCTAACGCATGAGTTCCTAATCAGCGATGTGCTTCATGAAAGTAAGGAACAAGACAAGATCTATTTTAGAAAGATGGATTTATATCATCCAAGCTCTGCAAAGCTGGTTTTATAAGGTATCAATTTAGAACAAGAGCTGTAATTGGTAAGGGACTGGACCTTACTTTCCTCAGAGCAACTAAGTTTTCTCTCTCCAAGCCTCAGGAAATCAACTCGTAATAGATTGAGATATATAAATACCAGAGGACAGAACATGAGCTTCCTCCAATCACCGCTTCCTTCTAGGCAGAATAGGATGTGTGAAACCAGAGCATAACCTGAAGGTGACAAGCTTGGCGCCTACACCCACAGCATGGCAATAGCTGTGCCTTGGAGGCTGGTCTCAGGCGCTGCCTGCCCAGGGCAGTAGGTGGGCAGTAGTTATTTCAGAGATCTCTCAATGTGCTGACTTGTGAATATTGTAAAGTTTCATGGGTTTGTTCTTTAGGTTCAGTATGTTTGTTGACCTCAGCTTTTTGTGTACTATTTTGAAAATATACAGAAAAGGTCCATGAGTACTTATCAGTTCCTTTTAAGAGATCACTTTAAATTTTCTGCTTCAAAACATTTTTCTAATTCTGGATATTGTATATTTTCCTTGAAAGATTCTAAGTATTCTGTTTGTAATGGGACTAGTATGATTGTCATTCTGTACCTGACTGTCACCACACCTTTGTTTTATAACTGAATACCAGTAGGCCTTTGTTTGATTCAAATCATTGTGTACCTTTGACATTGCTATGCAAGATCTTGGCCCAAGAGATACAGTATACTGAAGCTGCAGTGATATATACTAAAAAGATTAGAAGTATGTTAGGATAAGTAAGAAGTGTGGAGAAAGTTGCTTTGTCTTTGCCAGGATTTTGGAAATTGAAAATACACATCAGGGTCCTCCCTGGTGGCACTACACTGTGAAGCTATCCACAGCCACTGCAGCACTAGTTCAATCCCCAGCCAGGGAGGTGACCCATATAGCATGGCAGACCTCTCCTGTCCCACCCACTGCTCCCCTCAGCAATGTATTTCAGTGCATCTGCCTGTTCTGTTCCCCACTGTCTCACCCTCTGCTCCTCTGGCTTGTACCCCAGTTCTTGTGTTCATAAATAATTTTTTTTTTTAAAGAAAATACACATCAGGAGGAGAATAAAAATTTTATAGCTGTCTACCCAAAAATCTCTTAAGAAAGCCCCATAAAGCCAATAGAACAGCAATAAGATTCAGTATTACTTTAAAAGGAATTATACTGCAATGCCTGGTGACTTAAATGAGAACATCTCTCACATGAGATGTTCTCATTTGTTTGTCCTTGGTAACTGAGGATCCTTTTTTTTGTTTTCCTATCCAATCATTTTCAGTAAGATGCTTCTAGAACTTCAGTTACCACATCCTATTTCCAGGAAGAATGCATAAAAACAAGGGGGGGAAGCATTTGTCCTTAAAGTCAATTCTCTTAAAGTCAGTTCTCTTGTGACTTGTGCCATACGTAAATGCAAAAGAGGTTAGGAAAACCAGTATGTTAGCTGAATACCTAACAAAAGGGGAGGGTGAATGTTGGATGGGTAAAAGTAGCCCATATTGCAGTTATTAAAGATCAGCCTTCCCTCAAACCAGTAAAAACTTCAGAATATGATGGGGGTGAGGAGTTCTATTTGCAATAGCAGTAAGAGCTATAAATGCTTTTGAGAGTCAACCTAGCAAGAAAAGCACAGCAGCTATGTGGAAACATTGCTGATAGACATAAACTGGAAAAAATAGATACATAACATGTTTCTGGATGAAAAACTTTGACAAAAATATCTCTCTGCAATTTATTCTCTAAATTTGATGTAGTCTGAAATTTTCCACATATCACAAAACTCTTGCAGTTGGCTGGGAATAGACAGACTAATGGAACAGAAGTGTCCCCAATAACAGATCTGTTTATATGTGAACTTACCAGTTGATATAGATGTCAGATCAGTAGAGAAAAGCAAATGGACTCGTCTTCCTATGCTAGTAGCATGGTAGCTACTAGCCACAGTGTCCTGTTTGTGAAGTTAAATAAATTTGTTTCCTTGGAGCACAAAGTGCCACATTTCAACTACTCAGAAGCCAGAGGTGGCTAGTTATGCTACACTGGACTACAAATAGTCTCATCACTTACAGAAAGTTCCATTGGACAGCACTGCTCTACATTATATTGGGCCCAGTTGTTCTGAAGGAATGCAGTGTTGGTGACTTTTTCCCTGAAACATTCTTTGGAGATAGGTTTCTGGGAGAACTCCATATGACAGTGTATTTCTAGCATGTTTCTAAGTCTCTGGGGTACACCATGGGTAGTCAAAGAGCAGCCCAGGAAAACTACTGGAATCAATACTTCACTCTTGAAAATGGAACCACTCTAATACGGATGCCAGTGACTTGAAATAGACCAGAGGACTAGGCAGCTTTTGAAGTGCCCACTAGGACACAGATTTAAGAGACTATCTTTCTTGGACATCTCTAGCACGGGTAGTAAGTGCTTGTTGTTGATTACCAGATGAAAAGACCAGTAGGATACTCCCAAGGTCCAAGTACTTAATGTTTCCACTGTGCTGGGATCCATTAGGTGTAATGTCTGCCACGATGCTTAGGTGTCAGCAGTACCTTCTTATACCTTCTGCTTTGGTTCCCAACAAAATAGTTTATAGAACTTCAAGATTTCCATGGCCCTGTTCCGTTCTAGAGGTTTTGTTATTGCTCCCTGGACTTTAGGAATCCCAGATAATGACAACTCAAAAAAAAAAAAAAAAAAAAAAACCCAGTACTGGCTATTAAACTATTATCCATTCAAAACTCTTAAATGCTCTCTAACAGTTGACCTTTTATTTCCTAGGGACATTCCAGCTATATCACACACCTTGACTGGTCTCCAGACAATACATACATAATGTCTAACTCAGGAGACTATGAGATATTGTACTGTAAGTATGAGTGATAACTTATGGTCCGGTCAGGGCAATAATAAACAGATGGTGCAGTTTGAATTGTGGGAGAATGCATGCTGGCCTCTCTAGCTTGGAGACCATATGTTACTCTGAGCTGTCAAAGCAACAAGAATTTCAAATGTGGTTCAGTTCTCAAAAAAAGTAATGAATTCATTTAAGTGTGTGGACATATAAATTACTCAGTGAGATTGATGCTGCTCTGAGTGATTTTGTCTTTAACAATTTTTCCTGGAGGCAGAAAGCAGTATACCAGAAGGACATCTACGTTTTTTAAAGAAAAAACTTCAGTGGGAAACAATTTTTAGTTCTATACACCATTAAAGTAAACATTTTCTTTTCCTTTTTAAATGTCTTAATGTTTTTCAGTGTTTGGATTATAAATACAAGTAGACGTGGCTAGTTTGAATCAAGATGCACTTTCAAATGCATTTGTACACAAGCACTATGATTATACTTCCTGTTTCTAAATTTAAAGGGAACATTCCAACTGGCTGCAAACTAATCAGGAATCGATCAGAGTGCAAGGACATCGATTGGACAACATATACCTGTGTACTAGGCTTTCAGGTTTTTGGTAAGAAAACGGTATCTGATGGGGAAAGGTAGTTTGTGGGGTCCTTATATATATTTACATGTTTAAATCGCTAAATGAAAAATCATCATGTTGATTTGAGGACTTTTGGTCCTCAACATATATGAAAAACCATTTAAAGAAAAGGAATTTACAGATTAGTGCAAACTCTTCCCATATTTTCCCTCCAAGTGAAAACAAGCTTTTAAGTTTGTAAAGACCATTTTTAAAATAACAACTTTATTCAGATTACATTCACATACCATATAATTCACCTGTTGTGTACAGTTCTTGGTTTACTATATATTCATAGTTGCGCAACCATTATCACTATTCAAGTTTAGAACATTTTCATCACTCCAAAAAAATCCCTTTGCCCATTAGCTGCCATTCCCTGTCTCCTCCATTCCACATTGTTACTTTCTCTAATGACTTGACTATTCCAGATAGTTCATATAAATGAAATCATGCAACATATGATCCATTGAGACTGGCTTCTTCACTTAGCATTGTTTTCAAGGTTCGTCCATATTGTGGCATCTATCAGTACTTCATTTTAGTCCTAAAAAACATCCCATTGTGCTAATATATATATACATACCACGTTTTATTTATCCATTCATCAGTTGATAGACCTTGGATTCTTTTCAACTGTTAAGCTATAGTAAGTAATGCTGCTATGAGCAATTGGGTGCATGTTTTACTATAAAGCTATTTTCATTTCTCTTAGGTATCTATACATACTTAGGAGTTTAATTACAGGGTCAAATGTTAACTCATTTATTCTTTTGAGGATTGTTTTCCCAAGTGACAGTACTACTTTCATTGCCACAAGTAGTGTACGAGTATTCAGTTGCTTCACATCCTTGTCAACACTTGTCTATTCTTAGTGTTTTGCATGTGGATATCCTGTTGTCCAAGTACCATTTGTTACAAAGGCATTTTTAGTAGACATTGCTTAAAAGTTGGGAACCATTCCTAATCTTAAAATTTAGAACTGTTTCCTGAGTTTCCCAATCTGTCTTATATCCTTCTGAAAAGATCACAAGATAAATGGAAAAGTTAAAATAGTAAAATGTTTTATATGTAAAAAATTAAAAGATGTTATAACTCAATAATTACAGTATTGGATGTGGATACGGCAGCATACCCAAAGTAATATCCAAAATATTAATACTGTTGTTTTAATAATGTATCTCTGCCTTCTGAAAGTGGGGATTTCTCCTCCAGCCTACAGACTGTATATTTCTTTATGCTGTGTATGGTAGAAAAGTAATTTATAATAGGTACTTAATGGAAACACAGCTGTAGAAATGGAGAAAACTACTAGGCTAGAAAGAAGTGAAAAACATGATAATCCTGCCCAATTACTAAAGAGAGTAACATTCATTACTCTGGGTAAAATTGAAGCAGGGGCTGTTCAGAGAAACTGAATGGCCAGTAACTGGGAACTTACCTAGTTACTTTAATGTACCAGTACTTACTTATGAAGACATAGCAGTTAAGAAATGTTCTAACTTGATTTTTAGCAAATTTACTGAGAACATATTTGTTCTTTAGAGTAGAACTGAGCCATAGCCCGTGAGCATCTCAACCCTTTTATATTCCATAACTTTAATCTAATCAAGTTTTGTGCCTATAATTTTGAGCATGATCACCAGTGCCTTATGGCTCAGAATAATTAATTTTGCTATGTCTTATATTTTGAGGCATAAATAATAGTTGCAGGAAAATTCAGTAAGAAAGCATGGTAAAATAGTGGATGGCCTTACACATTTCATTAAGAAAACATCTTAATGGGAAGTCTAACATTAAGGTGAGTCAAGCTAAAACTAAATTTATTAGCACCACCTGCTGGAGACTATTGAGTACTTTTAAGTCTTTAAATGTTCTATCTTTTAACCTCTTATGGTTTAATTTTATTATTGTTATATTTTGAATAAAACTTCACTTGGGTGAAGTTGACCCACTAAGACATTTGTAAAGGAAATCTAAGATTTTGAACACAGATGAAAATAAAATTCTAAAATCAGACCCTCCCTGGTGCACAACAAGTTAAAGCACAGCACTGTGTATCTGTCCACAACCACTGCAGCGTAAGTTTGGTTCCCAGCCAAAGAGGTGACTCATATGGCGTGGCAGACTCTCCTGACCTGCCTGCTGTGCCCCTCAACAGTGTATTTTGGTGGATCTGCCTGTTCTGCTCCCCACTCTGTCTCTGGTAAATCCTCTCACCCCTGTACTGTGTCCTGACCCTAGTTCTTATATGTATAAATAAATAAATCTTAAAAAAAAAAATAACTAAATCAAAACATACATAGCATCACAGTTATGTTTTTTCAGCCTAATTTTTCTACACCCTTATGTTTCCATAACAAAGGTGTATGGCCAGAAGGATCCGATGGGACGGACATCAATGCACTCGTGCGATCCCACAACAGGAAGGTGATAGCTGTTGCTGATGACTTTTGCAAAGTCCATCTGTTTCAGTATCCCTGCTCCAAAGCAAAGGTAAAATCAATTTAATAGACACTAGTTTAATAAAAACCTTTCTTTTGTTTACAGATAATTTTGTCAGTGGTGAAAAAATATTTCGTTACTAATTATCTGTCTATAGTACTAGACAGCCCAGAAGAATGGTATTAGAATGCTCCGAGGAAGCACAGGATCCTTTTTAAGCATCCAAACAAGAATCATACCTGTCTTCTCCATATTCTTTCAGGGCAAGGGAAAAATACAAAAGGCAGTTATTTTATTCATATTGTCCAGTTTTATCTTGATTTTTGGGGGGCAATTTTAAATTTTTCAGAAACTTTAAAATATCAATATATAAAATACAAAACATACCATATATAAACATACCAAAATATAAAATATTACCAGCATTATCAAACTTAAGGACCTTTTTTCTAAATTACCTATAATCCTGCCAACCTAATTCCTTCCCTCCCTGTCATTTCAAAGATACTAAATAGTAAACACTTTTAGTTTCTTAACCATAAAAGTCTAAAAATATAAGTATCAAATGACTGTTTTGTTTCTCCCAACAATAGACATTAAAAGGAAATTGCTACTAGCTTAATTCCCTAGTGTTGATGACATTTGGCTTTGAGTTAACTGTTTCATAAGCTGTTCTGTTTGTCTTACCTAGTCACCTCCATTGCTGTAAGCTGGCACATGAAGTGTGAACTTAATTTTCCTATCTCATTTATTTGACATAGGCTCCCAGTCACAAATACAGTGCCCACAGCAGCCATGTCACCAACGTCAGCTTTACTCATAATGACAGTCACCTGATTTCAACCGGTGGGAAAGACATGAGCATCATTCAGTGGAAACTTGTGGAGAAGTTATCTTTGCCTCAGAATGAGGTTGTAGCAGATACTACTCTAACCAAAGCCCCCATCTCTTCCACTGAAAGTACCGTGCATGCTGATACTCCCACACCACCTCCTTCCCAGTCCTTAAATGAGACAGTTGAAGAAGAAAGCAGAATAAGCAATTCACCCACACTTCTGGAAAACAGCCTGGAACACACTGTGGAACCCAGTGAAGAACACAGTGAGGAGCAAAGTGAAGAAGGCAGTGAAGACCTCGGCGAGCCTGCTTATGAAGAGCCAGCCAATGAACTGAGTGAGGAGCAGAGTGAAGCAGCTCTTACTGAAGATGAGCAAGATTCCTCACCTCTATCCTAACTGCAGGACTTCAGCACAACTGTCTTTCTCCTTCACCTGCATGTGATCTTGTGATAAAGTTCAGCTAACAGGCCGGAAAGTGATAGAAAATCACTGTTGATTGAGATTTTAGTTTCCATGTCATCTGTTGTCTTTAATAGTCATCTTCAGTCTCCATGCAGCCGGCCTCAAGGTTCAGTTTGGTTGGTGAGAGTTGAAAATTAACCAAACTTCACAGTAGGAAAAAACAAACATTAATTATTATGTCTCAGAAATTACTGTGTATGTAAGTGGTATCGTGTAAATACTGGAAACAAAAACAGCAGTTGTATTGATTTAAAATAGACCACTTGTTATCTGAACCTGTTTTCTTCAGGAACAACCCGGAGGCATCACAAACACTGTTACTCATCTACTGGCTCAGGCTGTGCTACCATTTTTCCCCCTGATGTACAAAAAAGAAATCAGAAAAAAACAAAATTGCTCTGAGATATCCTTTCATCCCCAAGTGTCTGGTGTAAATTTTTTAATTAAGAAAAATTTCAGTATTGCCAACCACAATGGTGTTGCCTTCTTGGATAATGATGACATTTTCCTACACTACCAGTAGCTGTCCAGATGTGCTTGTTAGTCTACTATATCGGTGCTGCCTTTCTTAAGTCACAATGAGGAACAGTTCGTTTCATCTAAGAACTAAGAAAGCAATGGTTTGTTAAAGAGCTTTTAATGTATATTAAGTCACTGATACTCAGAAATAAGTGATTCCTCCAAGGATTCCTTTACTGGCCTAACATTTTCAAATGTTTGGTATTCAAGTGAGTGGAAGAAGAAAAACCGCATGCCTATAAAACTAAACTGTAATAATCACTTGGCTAATTTTAGTTTAGCCTTCTAATTTGTCCCTTTGATAAGAGAAACATAAGTACAGTAAGTTTAAATGATAGAACTGGTGCTTGAAATTTATTGGTTTAGTTGTAATTTTTATACAGATTAATTATATTGAGATAAAATACTCAACAAATTGCAGATTCTTTTTTATAAAGTGAGTAACAGTCACAGTAGTTTTTTATAAACTGCATACTTAACAGACTTGCTACATACAGTAATTTCCTCTGGTAGAATTGCTATGCCTTGCGAGTCTAACGTGGCTATCCTCTGCTGTTTTCGGTAATGCATGTATCATTATGCATTGGATAGCTGGGTTTTTTTTTAAAGTTTTGTCAGACAACTGTTTTTCTTATGTATTTCCTACTATAAAAATAATTACTGACAAATATGCATTTCCTATACTTGTTTGTACTTTTGAGTATAAAAAAACTTCATTTTGAATTTATTTTTTAACTTGCTACATTGTTTTGATATTTTTTCTTTGGTTAGGTTATGTTTAGAAACTTTGGATGAGTTCAGAAGTCTTAAGTATGCAAGTGTTTACTGATTGTGCCATTCCAAAGTGCAACGGAACTGTCATTCCCTTCTAGTATCTTCTCAGGAGTAATACAAATCAGGTATTTCATCATCATTTGGTAATATACAAACTCCAGTGAACGCCCAAGAACACATTTATATTCACAATACTGTATGTAAGGGTGGGGGTGTGTGAAGCGGTGAGTATGGACTTTCTGTGTTTGTTTGTATCTAAGACATATGCCACATTGAAAATACTCAGTGTTTATCTCTGTGTGTATAGATATATGTCCATGTATATCTCTTTCTTTTGTTTACAACTGTTTTAAAAAAAAAAAAAACCTCAATGTAGTTCTCTTTGAGAGAAGAGAGATAGATTCCAAGCAACCCACCTTTTTTTCATTATGTTCTGTACATAGTTATTCAGAGAGCATCAGTGTCAGGCACATATATTTGCCTATTAGCAATGGTGATTAAAATTATCAGGTCAACATGTGCTGTTCCCTGTTAAGAAAAATACTATGAGATGAACAAGTAGTTCTAGGAGTATAAGGAGCATTTCCTTAAGTACCTGGGGAATACAGCTCTCCCTTTAAGCAGGGAGTTTATCTGGGGACATCAGTTACCTTGGGGGTTGCTGTATACAATGAGATTTTTATCGTGATACTCTTGGGTGGTAGTTTCCAAAGACACTACTAATACGCAGAAAGCGTTCCAGCTCTCTATTGCTGGCAACTACTGTTTAATGGTCAATTAAATCTGTGATAATGGTTGGAAGTGGGTGGGAATATAAAATTGTAGATGTTTTTAGAAAAACTTGTGAATGAAAATGAATCCAAGTGTTTCATGTGAAGATGTTGAGCCATTTCTATTATGCATTCCTGTCTCTTGGCAGAAAATATTGAAGATTAAAAATAATCAAAATGTCTCATTGGTCTCTGGGTTGTGAATCTTCATTAATAGTGCTAGTTTCCACCATTAAAGGACAAAAACCACAGGGGCACATTTTCAGTTGATAGTTGCTGCTGTGAATACAAACATTGAGTAACAAACTCATAGCCTTAGACAAAATCACTTCTGATTAATGCTTCAATATAATAGGGAAAGGACTTCATTTTAATTTATTCTATGTCTGTATTTTCTCAAGTATTTTAACCCTGGGTGGTCCTGGTTACCTGTCTGACCCAACTCCACTGCCTAACACTGCACCCTAGTGCTAGTTCCTATAAAGTCCTTGAGTCTGGTGGCACACCCCTTTGCCTGCTTTCTCCATCTCTTACATATTGCTCTAAGACAGATCTAATGTGCTTAACTCTGGATTGGCTGCCACAGATTTTTCTTTATGAATTAGATCAAGAATATTCTATACATAGTTCTCAGTCACTCAACATACAGCCCCCACCCAGAGGCTGCCCTGGGGGAGGAGGTCCTGCTCCACCCGTTCTAGACAGAATGGCTATGGACAGAATGGCTATGGACGCCAGAACAAACACACTGAACGATGTGATTTTCCTTAAAAAGGAACTCCACAAAAGGATTAGGGGGAATAGTGAAGAATTCAACTTTGGACTCATTGAGGTGCTGATATAACTTCTAGAAGGAGTTCAATTTCCAGCTTAAAGGTAAAACTAAAGTGTAAGAACAAAAACATGTTTTTAAAACAAAGGCAGTCTGTAGGGAAGATCTGTCGGACTTGCACCAAGGGTGCCATCACCTAGCGGCACCTGTGCAGCCTGCCTCCTGCAGTCTTGTGGGTATGTTACCTAGGTAAGGAGATGTTGGGGAGATAGAGGAACTGGCCTGTGCTCATTCATCTAAATAATGGTCATGTCAGAATGACATGTTGTATAACTTCTTCCATATACATGAAGAGAAAGACATTTCTTTAGAAACCAGAAAGGATGGGAAAAGATGGGTAAAGATTTTGAAAGGATGTTAGGGAAACAGAAGAGCCCAATTTGGTCTCTGTGGAGTGAGGTCACTGCCGACCGAGGTGCTGCGCATCTGTGTGACTTTCAGAGAAATCCGGCCCTGCCAGAGAAGCCTTTGTCTAGAATGCCCAGGACTGGGATCTTCAAAGGGAATGCCTTATTGTCCCTGGCATGTTAGCCTGCTTCATTTCTGTATTAACCAGCAATGTTGTCAGGAGGCCAGAGTTAACTGAAATGAATGCTTTTTTTTTTTTTTTTTTAACCAAGCAAATCTGGCAGAACTTAAGAGTACCACTTCTAGATTCCAAAGGACAAAACATGAAGTGGACAAAAATAAAACCTAAATGCTCAAAGGTTAAAATATGGCACACACACTCATAACTGAATGCTTCAATTAATGTAACTTAAGTGCTTTATGTAATTCATTCAAGCCTTTCAATATCCTAAATCTTGCCAGCTCCGTTACACTCCTAGACAAGTTCCTTTTGTGGAGCTTTTTTCCATTAAGAGGAGTCACACTGGTTAGTGGATCTATTCTGGTGCCCATCAGCTGTTCTGTCTAGAACAGGGGAAGCAGGACTTCCTCCCTGAGACAGCCCTCACCAGTCAGTGTATGTGATATATATCAAAGGCGAATAGAGTGATGAAAGCCCCATCATCTCCATGGTTGCAAAATGGGAATGTATGGCATATTCTTGATCTGATTCTTTTTTTAAAAAAATTAACATGGGCCCTCCCTGGTGGCACAACACTAAGAAGCTAAAGCCACTTCCTCATGAGTTCAATTCCCACCTGCCCTGGAGGTGACCACATGGCATAGACCTCTCCTGACCCGCCCGCTGCTCCCCTCAGCAGTGTACTTCCTCGATCTGCCTGTTCTACTCCCCACTGTCTCTGGTGAAGCCTCTTGCCGCCCCGAGCCTCTGGCCTGTATCCCAGTTCTGTATGCACAAATAAATAAATTTAAAAAAAAAAAAAAAAACATGAAAACCAAGTGGCCATGCCAGGATTTGAAGCCAGGTCCTCCTGCCTCCAGAGTCCCTGTGGCCAGTCACCAGCTCTACTGTAATGCACACTAGAAGCTATGTACTGCTGGGTAGCTAAGTATTCATCAGACTGAATGAAAATTTCTGGTAAACTAAGGGAAAACTATGGAAAGTGATCAGACTTGGGGAGAGGTGTAACCATCACAAAGGTGAAAGGACCCTGCTGTCATCCCTTCAGCCAGCCTGCAAGGCTTGTATGCTGAGGCACCTGCTACCAGCAGCTGCCTGCTCTTCCTGTTTTCCTTAGCCACAGGCACATAGGTCCTCAATCCCCAAGGTTCAATTTAAACCTACTTATGGAGAAATGCTGCTCCCTTATTTTGCAACCTTTGGGCAATTTCTATTTGACCAAGAAAGAAGTGGTAGATCTTCCTGCCACTGGCCAAGTGCTTTCTTCACTTTGTCTTCATTCTCCATCCCACACAAACCTTGGCAAGTCAGAGGCTCTGCTAGACCCATGCACAGCCACAGGGCTTTGATCTTGCATCTCTTTTCCTCAGCGATGTAAACACACATCCTGAAAACAGATTTTCCTAGGGAGCCATCACTTACAGGGAAGAATAAACATAATAGCTGGTGATGATGGTAAACACTTCAGTGGATTACACAAAATTGGCTCTAGAGGCAGATTTCAACTCCTACCAGTTTACTTTTACCAAATCTCACTAAAGGTGCCTAAAACAAAGGGGGTACTAGACAAAAATAACTTCAGGGAGGAAAAATAACTCATAAAAAGCAAACCTGTCATACCTGGTCATCACATTTCAGCCTCAGCCTTGTTCACACAACCACCAAGCCTGAGTGCATCCTGGGAAAGGCCCTGGGCACAGTGGAGCTCACCTCTACAGGGATGTGCACTGAGCCACTACTGGTTGAGCTGAGCTGGACACTTGGTGGAAGCAGGGAATCAAGCTGACATTCTCTTACCATGTTAACTGCAGAACTTATTTCAATTAACTGAGTCAGAGGTGGTTCTAGAGAGCTGAGTTCTCCAGTCTCTACAATAAAATGACTTACCATGCCAATACCTTCAAAACGATTGCCAGTTGGAACACTGGACTAGGATCCACAGAAGTCATGCATTCACCTGACACATTATGAACTTGCCTCCTGCAGGAACCCTGCTGGGCTGCACCAAATCCAATAATGGGAAGTTGCAGACCTGGCTGTCATGAAGCATATAACCTAGGTCTGTAAAGATAAGCTGTGCATAAATTAGAATTGGTATATAACAATGATAGGGTTCCCTTAAAACTAGAATTTTTTTTTTTTTTTTAAGATTTCTTTATGCATACAGAACTGGAGTACAGGCCGGAGGTGTGGAAGGTGAGAGGATTTGCCAGAGACAGTGGGAAGCAGAACAAGCAGATGTACTAAAATACACTGCTGAGGGGAGCAGTGGTTGGGCCAGAAGTCTGCCACAGCATGTGGGTCACCCACCCTGGCCAGGGATCGAACTTGTGCTGCAATGGTAACAGCTTTATAGTGCAGTGCTTTAACCTGTTGTGCCACCAGGAAGGGCCCAAAACTAGGTAATTCTAACTACATTACTACTCATAGTGTATAACATGAAATGTGAAAAGTCCTAAGTAATCTTGGATTGGTCATCTGCTGAAATCACCCTCCACTGCTTAAATTTTATAATAGTCCACAAAGTTAAATTTTGACAGATAAAAAATAATATATAACTCATAATATGAAACATTACTTAATTAAAAGGAATGAACTATGATACATGCAACTTATAAACTCAAGGATTATCAAGGATTAATCATTATGTAGTGAAAAACAGTCAATCTTGAAAATTTACTGTATCTATATAATTCTTGAATTGACAAAACTTCTAGAGACTAGATTACCAGAGGACCAGGACAGAAGGAGGTGTCACTATGAAGAGGTAACAAAAAGGGTTTTCTTTGTGATAATGATGAACAGTTGGAATCTTGATTGTGATGGTAATGTGAATCTACCTGTGGGATCAAACTGCATAAAATCACATGTGGGCACAAAACAGGTAGAAAGTAAGTTCCTGTCTCACGTTCTACCAACCTCAACTTAATAGGATACATACATAAGATTTTTTCCATTAGGAGAATCAAGAGAATTGATATAGACTTCCTGTGAGTTTACAAATATTTCCAAATAAGTTTAAAAATAGTAATGATATAGAAACTTTACCTTACCTTTATGCTTCTGAAATCAATGTGAAGAAAATGGGACTTAATGAAAAACAAAAAAACCCACAGTTTCTTTCCTAGTGCACTCAACACCCTCTACCTACAGGCCCATTAGCACTGTGACCGGGAGGCCTGCACCCTGCATCCATGCCAGCGATGGATGACCCTGCATCCATGCCAGCGATGCTCTTCTCCATGAGGTCTGGCAGATTCCCTAGCCCTAAGGGGGAGGGGGGCGGTCAAGGAAGCCCAGGCATGCGGGATGCTGGTCAGTGGTGTCATCGTAAAGGGCAGCAGCCTCTGGGGTAGCAGGGGGGGGAGACAGCCAGGGAGGGCTCAGGGCAGCTGGTAGACCTGGATGCTGGGAGGGAGCCTTTGGGCAGCTTCCCCCAGGCTGGACACTCTGTACACCACCTCCCTCCTACTTGTCTCCTCCTGGTTTCATTTCTGACTGGTGTGACTGCCAATGTTGACTCCCTTTTCCTGGGAAACCTCTCCTGAAGCCAGCACCATGCCCCCAGTGCTCACCCCTTCGTTCCGGTGCTTGGGCTGAATCATTTTCCCTCACTCCGAATTAATAAAATGATAAGGGAAAAAAAAAATCTACTTTCTAGCAGGCCCTCATGACATTGGTGCAGAATTGAGATGAGGTGATCAGGCGTTCTCCCTTGACAGTTAACAGCCCCCAGCTTCATCAGGAAAATCCATTTTCATGTGGCTGACTCTTTGCTGCCCATGAATATCTCATCACCAGAATCATTAGCAGGAATGTTTGC